GCATGAACTTCTTTGATGTTTGGTTCTAAGCCAACATATATTTTTACATCATAAAAATTTTCAGTATTTAACAATCTCTCATTTTCGTTAAAATATTTTTCAAATATTGAATTCATTTTAAAATAAAAAATATGAATGGTTACAATTAATCATAAAAAAGGAATCTAAATAAAACCCCCAAAAATTATCGTTACTATTACTATTTTTAGTAATAGTATTAGTTTCACTAAATCTTGATCCCTGAAATTCTTTGTGGTATGAATGCTCATTTGGTATTCTAATTTTGTTAATATTAAAGTTTTTTAATTCATTCACAAGGAAGATTCTGTTTTAAACGAGTGTGAGTATATTTCCAACCCATTAATTATAATATAAACTTTATTTTAATTATTGTTTTAAAAAACTTTTATCAGCCACTCAAAATTTTCTATTAAAAAAGTACATTATCTTCATGACCTATTTATGTAATGCGTAGGGTCCTAACCAATCCTCCTCCATAATCGTGAGAACGTGCATTTTATGGAGAGAGAAATCTTATTGGTTTCACGTAACGCCAATTGACAGGTCATCTGTGCGATAAAAATTTTCACATTATTTATTATTATTATTATTGTTTCGTTTTTTTTTTAACAAGCAAACATGTTATTTCTTTTCTCACAGAAAATTTTGTATGACACTTACCTAACAAATACATTCCAAACCCAGAATTTAAATGTGTCATGTGAATATATTGATATGACCTGTCATTGTCCTTTATGCATCTAAACATCGAAGAAGAGCGTTAGAATCTTTTAAATATTACTTAAACATATATATTTAATTTAGCTAAAAAAGATGTATTTCATTTTATCTTTAACACGCATTTTTCTCTAACGATGTTCTTTTTCTTGTCACGAGAAAAATTATTTATGCCAAAATTGGGTTGAATGGGTCATTAATATTAATATTTAACAATAAACGACGCGAGAGAAATTTTCAAACCAAGATATTCTCTCTTAAAAAAAATTTTTTCAAAAGACTCTATAAAGAAATTTAGAAATAATCACAACCTTTAATTTTCTATAATAATATTATATATCGAAACGTCCACTTCCGCTTCATACAAGACTAGTATTGGACTCTGTGAACAAAAGTCTAGAAGATCTTTTAAAATGTCAATTGAAGAAGATGATTTTCATTTTTTTTTCAAACGGAGGGCTCGTTTGGAGGAAGAAAAAGAATTTCTAGTTCAGAACTCGATGCAATGATTGGTAGTTCGATCATTAGAGGTGGTGATAAATATTCTGATTTTAAAGTTATAAGTGGAGTAATAGGAACAGAAGTTAAAACAGGCCGGAACAAAGTATCAGCTAAAGTTGAAGTAGATGTGAATTTGGTAGAAGCTGAAATTGTAGGTATTAAAGGAAATTTGGGAGTCAGTGCTGATTCGGGTGTATCAATTGGTGATGGTAGTGTAGAAACTAAGCTTGCAGGCGTAGGTTTTAAGGTTGAGAAAGAAATAGGTATAAGCACACCTATTGAGGGAGTATCTATTGGTCTTTGAAAAATTTTTTACAAGTATTTTTAGTCTTTAGTAGTTTCATTAACTTGTCTAGTTTATATTTATGTTATTTGAATGTTTCGAATAAAAAAATTTATGTAAAGAATTTCCCCACTCACATTTATTTTATTATTATTATTAAATAAAGATAAATGAATTATTTGTTAATAAATTGTTTAATATGAGAGATAGAACTCCCAAATAGTATTTATTCAACCTCTTCAATCTAGATTACATGAAAAGTCTTCCGCCTCTTTAACTTCATCTACCATTGGAAGATAATATTGTTATTCTAGATAATTCTGACTTCGAGTCTTTTTCCTTGATTACAAAGTGCATTTGTCACCAAGGCACCTCTAAAATGAATGGAGTAACCATCAATTCTTCTTCAAAAATTCTTTAGGGTCTGACACGTTTAGCATTAACCTGTAAAAATATTCCGTTACTTTAATTTCAATTCCAGCAACACTCTGGAAATATTCCATAAATTTGTGACGACAATAAATCACATGTTTCCTTTACGAAATGTATCATATTTATGGAGCTTAAAACACGGAGCATTTTTCATAGGTTATGGACCCTTTATTTTCGTTGTTTTATCTGAACGTTCGAACCGCATCATAAATATGGCTTTGAGAGCTACTGAATCACCGGAAGTAACAATTCCAAAAGGGATCACCGGAAATACATGGGCCAATTCCTAGTTTATTGTCTTTGCCAAATCTGACAAACTCTATTGACTATTAATAAAGTTTGAATGCGCATCATCAATATTTTATTTAATTACAAAAACATGTTCAAAAGATTAGTAACATGTTATTCAATACTAAGTAAAATGTACATTTGACATTCCCCATAGAAAAAAATACTCCGTTATTTTGATTTCAATTCCAGAAATTTGTAACGGCAACAAATTACATGTTTCCTTTACAAATTTCTCATAAATATCACACGATCATTCATTTTTATAGAAATATTGTTAGAATTAATAATTTATTAGAATATATTGATTTATAGTGAATAATAAGACATTTAATTAAATTAATATAAACAATATAGTTGGTATCGTTTATCAATTGAATGCTTTAGCTATGTTTTTTATAAACATTTTTTACTAATAAATATTTCTAAAAAAATTTATATATGCTATTTACTTTCTTGTATTACGATTATTATGTGCGCATTTGTTATGTTACGTTATGTCACTATGCGGTATAAGCCGGATCACTATAAATGGCAATCTCAAATAGTTTGACAGCAGCGTATTTTTATTTGATTTTAGATTTTAACTATGAGTGATGATGGATCACGAATTAATTTGTATGTACTAGTTATTGTACGGGTGTTTAAAAATATCGTGCAAGCTATGACGCAGTCATAGCTTATACGAATTTTTA